GCAGTCAATCAGTGGGGAGAAAGAAGTTTTAGTTAAAAATGCACTAAGACTAGACTATCGCTTTCCCGTGTCGCACTGCTCTCTTCAGACTCTCTCATTTATTTATTTTTTCTCTCTCTCTCGCCGTTATTTTGCGCTGCTCTCCAACTAACCGATCGCCTGGATTAGCCAAAGTTTTCTGGAGTGCGATTTTCGCTAATTCAAAGCTGGTTTCGAATTCATCTCGTAAGAATCCACTGGTTGGCTTTTATTTAAAAGCGTTTGATTGCAACTCCTACAGCCTTATTACTAATTATAACACAGATAAAAATACTGATAACAAAAAGAAAACAAAAGAACGCAAAACAAACAAAAAACAACAAGAGCAACGTTAACAAAAGAAGTATATGTAAAATTCTCACCTGATGTGGCATTCATACGTTTCGATATGGAGGACTTCACTAAAAATTCACCTCGTAAGCCATTTTGAACTTTCTACAAGCTTCGGGAGCTTTGATGGAGCGATTTTGGTTAAATATTCACCAGTGACGGGAGGGAAACGAGCGTTGAATGAGTGAATTAAAATTCTCACTGTGCAAGAATCCAGGTAATCAAACGATGTGTCTCCAGAGCAATCCTTTCCTCGTACCATGGCTAATTCGGTTACCACGGACAGACGGATCTGGTGACGAGAATGAGTTGTACCGGCAGACTCGGAAGATCCTCTTACCTGTAGACTGATTACGAGTCTCGTTATTAAATACGTTTGTCAACAGGCGCGCGATATGCATGATGAAATCACTTTTGCCTTTCTTTAACCCAAGATAACTACGGCACTTGCCAACCTTATTGGCAAGAAATCTTGATTCTAGAAGATGTGACAAATATTGACGTCATGCAAATCGTGCTAGGGAAACAGGCATACGCGCTGTATTCCTGTGGACAGGACCTACTTTACCACAGAGAAAGGATTAACCTAACTTGTTGTTCCTGTGCACCACCTTCATAGGTGATACCTTCCGCTCTGCGGTTGAACAATATTCAGACCTGTCTGCGTGGTTTGTAGAGTAATAAATGCTTCATACCACCCTTCCCTTCCCCCTCCCACCCCCACCAAAAAAAGGAACCAAATCATGAACAGTAATTTTTGTCCATGTATGAGCTTAGCCAAACAGGTGAGTATTACTACGTGGCTCTAACCCGAGTACACTCGTTAATTATAACTGGCTCTCTTATTACAAGAATTTCAGTGGAACTCGTTGTAAACCCAACTTCTCCCGATGTCTTGCCCATTCCATGTCTTCGGAAGGCAATTAACAATTTTTTTGAATGCAAGAATTTACAGTAGTCCGACAAGCTAATCAAATGCAGCTCCACGGGTCACTGCTAAGTAAACCGCTCCCTGAAAGTTTATCTTTCACATCTGTTCGCATTGATTTAACAAGTGCCGGCTAGCGTTCATTTCCAAACACGCTTCCGTCCAGTTTCTTCTTGGAGGACACTGTAATTAACCAAAATGGTTGGGAGTAACTAAATACAGAGAAAATATGTATTTTCTGGGTATGTAACCCACACAGTTGTTATGGTACTTGGAGGAATGAGTATTTACTTTGTTCATGTGGTACACTCAGCATCAGTCGATTTGAGGTCTATGATGTAAGTCATAACAAACTGCGAG